CAAACTCCCGCAGACCCAATCAACCATAACGACACGCCCCGTTTTTATAGCATCACATTACTAGCTAAAATCAAACTTATCACATAAACGAAAAATTTAACATATATCAGTGTGATAACAACTACCTTAAATGACCAAAACCATATTTCGGAAAATTGTATTGGAAATGTAATTTATTTTTTTTATTTTGACTCAAGTCCCATTCGTTTACATGGAGAGGGCGGGGTTTATGACCTGTACTGCAGCCAGCCACCAGGGGCGATCAAAGAGCCGGCAGCTTCACTTTTCAGGACGTGTGAGGCACACCCGGTTTCAGCCAACACCCAGGCCTAAAATATTACCGTCACAATGTAGATATTTTTAGAGCAGACTTTCTTATGGTTTTACTTGTATTACCCAATAACTCTGTTCTCTTTCTGTTGAAAAGCTCTTTGCTAATTCCTCAAATGCCCTTTGAGCCCAGCGGCTGTGCCAATGCTGCAGACGTGGAGAGATTCGACAAGCCAAGATTATGAGATTAAAGACAGGGAAGCACATTTACAGTCATCCATTATCTTCTCTGATCGTAAAACAGTCTGCCGACCTGGATATGATTCAGTGTGCTCAAAGATTCAAGCAAAAGCCTGTTTTTTTTACACAAGCAACTACGAGGTTTCATGTCACCTCATAATAACCAGTTGGCAAAGTAATTAGATATAATACAAGTGGGCTTTTGCGAGTCTTAATGATAAACACCACTGGTTTCAATATATCTGGTGATTTGGGAATTCGTGACACTGGACTGGCCAGCACTAATGCTATAAGATGGTATATTATAATTTATTATAATAGTAATTATGCTGCAATTACTGCAGAACAACCTGATTAAACTGCATTATGTTAAATGTGCATTTTTAGCTCAGCGCAGGTTAAAGATGAACATTCTTTCATCATTTACTCACCCTCATGTCATTCCAAACCTGTATTATTGACCTGTATTAAATCAATAATGAGATCAGAAGATCTGGAATAAAGTACTTTTTGACACTTTTAATATATGCAATAGAGCAGCTGGAACATTCAGCAAAATATCTTCCTTTGTGTTCTATGAAAGATAGAAGTTTGGATTTACATTAGGGTTAGTAAATGATGACAATATGGTATATATATAAAACCATTATTTCTAGAATCTTTATGATCATAAATGTCTTTTTGAAAAAACTCGGAGCAATATTGAAAATTACAGCAAGCAGCATTAGCAAATAAAATTTCAGTAATATAAAAAACTAAAGGTCATTTTGAGTTCAGTACAGGGCTGGGAGTCTTTTCAGGAGATCAGTGCTGGGCCATTACTTAAATCATTTAAGTTTCCTCAGCCTCATTACCCATGATGCACTTCAAAACTCAGATAGAAAGAAGCATAGGCGGAGGGTGAACCAACTCCAGGGTAAGGCTAAAAGCAGCCAAATCTATTAACTACAAACATCATAAACCCGTCTTTTTAGGCAAGAACCAGACACGGGTGTCATGTAGGCTAATAAAATGTTTAATGGGACTGAATTTGTATTTAATGTGATTACAATTTAATTAAAACATTAGAAATTGATAATTA